TGGTTTTTCCAGTAGTCATGTATGGATGTGAGAGTTGGACCATAAAGAAGGCTGAGTGAGTAAAAGTCACTCAGTCGTGTCCAACTCTTTGTGACCCCATGGACTGTAGCCAGCCAAGCTCTTCTGTCCGTGGAATTCTCCAAGCAAGAGTACTGGAGTGGGTTGCCACTCCCTTCTCCAGGGGATTTTCCCAATCCAGGGATCAAATCCAGGGCTCCCACATTGCAGGCAGATTCTTTATCATCTGAGCCACCAGGGAAGCCCAAAGAAGGCTGAGTGCCAAAGACCTGGTGTTTCAAACTGTGGTGCTGAAGAAGACTCTTGAGAGTCACTTGGACAGCAAGGAGATCAAACCAGTCGAGCCTAAAGGAAATCAACCGTAAATATTCATCGGAAGGATTGATGCCGAAGCTCCAATACTTTGGCTACCTGGTGCAAAGGGCTAACTCATTGGGAAAGACCCTGATGCTGGGAAAGGTTGACAGCAGGAGGAGAAGGGGTTGACCGAGGATGAGGTTGACATGACAGACAGGGATGACAGAGGTTGGATGGCATCAGCGACTCAATGGATATAAATTTGAGCAAATTCCGGGAGCTAGTGAAGGACAGGGAAGCCTGGCATAATGTGGTCCATGGGGTCACAAAAAGTCGGACACAACTTAGCGACTGAACAACAACAATAGATTATGGCACAAAGAAGCTTATATCTACCGATTTTTTATGGAAATGTTTTCAAAGGAGAAGAGACACTAGTTATTTTAGTTATGACCAAGAGTTAAGCAGTTGGAAATGATATTCGAGATGGAAGAGTACAAAAGAATGAGTCTCCAATAGAAACATGATGTAATAAATTAATTGTATCTTTCCAAAATTCATGTTGAAGTCTTACCAGTGCCTTAGTTATGATTGTATTAGGAGAGATAGCCTTTAAAGAAGTGATTGCATTAAAATGAGGTCCCCAGGGTGGGCCCCAATCCAGTTGTGTTATGGAGTCGAAGCTCAGTCTTCTCTCTTCAAGACAAGCCAGTTAACCTGAGAGACAAGGAATATAACTTTATTCAGAGATCAACTGACAAAGAGGATGGATTTCTGCTTTATTGACTATGCCAAAGCCTTTGACTGTGTGAATCACAATAAACTGTGAACAATTCTGAAAGAAATGGGAATAGTAGACCACTTGACCTGCCTCTTGAGAAATCTGTATGCAGATCAGGAAGCAACAGTTAGAACTGGACATGGAACAACAGACTGGTTCTAAATAGGAAAAGGAGTACGTCAAAGCTGTATATTGTCACCCTGCTTATTTAACTTATTTGCAGAGTACATAATGAGAAACACTGGACTGGATGAAGCACAAGCTGGAATCAAGATTGCCAGGAGAAATATCACCTCAGACATGCAGATGACACCACCCTTATGGCAGAAAGCAGAGAAGAACTAAGGAACCTCTTGATGAAAGTGAAAGAGGAGAGTGAAAAAGTTGGCTTAAAACTCAACATTCAGAAAACTAAGATCATGGCATCTGGTCCCATCACTTTATGGGAAATAAATGGGGAAACAGTGGGTGACTTTATTTTTTTGGGCTCCAAGATCACTGCAGATGGTGACTGCAGCCATGAAATTAAAAGACCCTTACTCCTTGGAAGGGAAGTTATGACCAACCTAGACAGCATATTAAAAAGCAGCGACATTACTTTGTCAACAAAAGTTCGTCATCTAGTCAAGGCTATGGTTTTTCCAGTAGTCATGTGTGGATGTGAGAGTTGGATTATAAGGAAAGCTGAGCACCGAAGAATTGATGCTTTTGAACTGTGCTGTTGGAGAAGACTCTTCAGAGTCCTTGGACTGCAAGGAGATCCAATCAGTCCATCCTAAAAGAGATCAGTCCTGAATGTTCATTGGAAGGACTGATGTTGAAGCTGAAACTCCAATACTTTGGTCACCTGATGGGAAGAACTGACTCATTTGAAAAGACCCTGATGCTGGGAAAGATTGAGGGCAGGAGGAGAAGGGGACGACAGAGGATGAGATGGTTGGATGGCATCACCGACTCAATGAACATGAGTTTGAGTAGACTCCAGGACTTGGTGATGAACAGGGAGGCCTGGTATGCTGCAGCCCATGGGGTTGCAAGGAGTAGGACATGACTGAGAGACTGAACTGAACTGAACTGAGCCATGCTGTTGAATATACAGAAAAGTAGAAGAATATAATAGACTGAAAAGCACTATGAACCGATTCAACATAATTAAGTGAAAGTTGCTAAAAAAAAAGTTGCTTCAGTCATGTCTGACTCTTTGTGACCCTGTGGTCTGTAGTCTGCCAAGCTCTTCTGTCCATGGGATTTCCCAGGCAAGAATACTGGAATGGGTTGCCATGCCCTCCTCCAGGTGATCTTCCCGATCCAGGGATCCAACCCATGTCTCTTATGTCTCCTGCATTGACAGGCAGGTTCTTTATGACTAGCACCACCTGGGAAGCCCCAGGGTTCCCTGAGGCAGGCATTTATGTGTGACTATAGTAACAAAAGTAATAAAAACAAAGAGTAAAGTCAAAGAAAGAGATCCACCATGGAGTCAGAATTGGCTCTTCCCTGCAACAGTTGACTGATGTTCTTTTTTAAAAATTATATATTTATTTTTGGCTGTGCTGGGTCTTCGTTGCTGCTCGTGGGCTTCCTGTAGTTGTGGAGATTGGGGGTTACTCTCTGAGGTGTGCGGGTTTGTCATTGTGTTGGCTTCTCATTGCAGAGCATAAGCTCTAAGGGTGTGGGCTTCAGTGGTTGCAACTTGAGGACTTTAGGGTTTGTGGGTTTCAAAGTTTCAACACATGGGCTCACTAGTTGTGGCTCACAGGCCCTAAAGCATGCAGGCTTCAGTAGTTTTGGCACGTGGGCTTAACTGCTCTGTCATATATGAAATCTTCCTGGACCAGGGATAGAACCCACGTCCCCTGCATTGGGAGGTGGATTCCTATCCACTGCAATACCAGGAAAGTCCTCACTGATGGTTTTATAAGAAGAAATTTAAGCCCCAAAATAGTTAGCAATAACACATGCATGCAGGGAGAAGGCTGTATGAGGACACAGCTAGAAGCTGGCATCTCCAAGTCAAGGAGAGAAGCCTCAAGAGAAACCAGAACTGTCAACACCCTGATCTTGAACTTCCAGCCTTCAGAACTGCAAGAGAATAAATTTCTGTTGTTTGAGCCACCCATTCTGTGGTGTAACATTATAGCAGCCTGATGTGTGTTTTTCCACACCACCAGGAAATTCTCTAGTTCTCAGCTGACCCTAACTGGGTACTTTACCAATTTAACTGAATTCTGATGCTGTCTATTTGATCATAACATCAGACCCTGATGACAAAAGTTTGGTCTCTGTGTACCACTGCCGAGTTGAATCTTGGAACCAGAGTTTTGGGTGAAGTAGAAAAGAGTAAAAATAAAAAAGTAAAAATTTTTAAAAAGTAGTAGCTTTACTGCTTTGCCAGGCAAAGGGAGGGACACAATAGGTTCGTGCCTCAAAAATGTGTGTCTCAACCCAGGGAGATTTGGTGAAGAGTTTTTAGCAATGGCTCAAGGATGGAGTCGCTGAGAAGGATCAGCATGTGCACAGGGCCTGCATCCCTTTATTTATTTACTTTTAATTTTTTTTAATTTTTTTCTGTGCGGAATCCTTGTTGCTGTGAGTAGACTTTCTCTAGTGGCAATGTGGGGGCTACTCTTCATTGCAGTGCTCAGGTTTCTCATTGCAGTGGCTTCTCTTGTTACAGAGCACAGGTTCTAGCCACGCAGGCTTCAAGTAGTTGCAGCACATAGGCTCAGTAGTTGTAGCTCATCAGCCCTAGAGCACACAGGCTTGTGACGTATGAGCTTTGTTGCCCTAAGGCATGTGGGAATCTTCCTGGACCAGGGATTGAACCTGTGCCCCCTGCATTAGCAAGCAGATTCTTATCCACTGTACCACCAGGGAAGCCCTCTGCATCTTTTTGTGTGGGCTCAGATGGTCTCCTGATGATCTGTGGTTCTTGAGGTTATTAAACTGTGGACTTCTCTCTGGAATAAAGAATGCCTCAAGTAGTTAACATCTTCTGTTTATTAGGATTTTCAGAAGAGCTCAGAGATACTGTTTTGTGTGTCTCTTGACACACAAAGACCAGGATCTCTTCTCAAGGCTGCACTGTTGTTGCTTGCTCCTCCCTTGTCTCTTCATCTCTTCTCTTCTATGTTTGAACCTGCCCTTTGGAACTCAGGGAAGGTCTGGAAACGCTGGACACAGAAAGACTTTCATGGCCAAGAGCCCCACAGATTCAAATCTCAGCCTCACAAGACTGCCCCCACTTCAGCTCCAGTTGAAAGTCTGAGTTGTCACTTGTGCTTCTGATGGACTGGCTGTAAATCAGAGGTTCCTATGAACCCCTCCTTGGGTTCAATCAATGTGCCAGAGAAGCTCACAGAACTCAGAGAACATTTACTTACACTTACCAGTTTATTACAAAAGATAAAAAGTATATAATGAAGAGTGTCACCTACAGATTGACACTTAACATCTATCTCTACAAGGATCAAATTATGAGTGGCTGTGGGTGCTGACCTTTAACACCCCCTGAAAGGAGTTCAGGGTTGAAATCAGGAATCAGGCACTCTGTGCTCTGAGGGAAACTAGCAGAACAAGTCTTCAGATAGAAAGATATTTTCAGGAGACTTTATGAGCCCAGTTCTTTCATCTCCTCAGATCTAGAGAAGCACTAAAGTCCTCCATGGTGATGTCTGCTCATTGCAGCTAGCAAAAAAAAAAAAAGAATATGTGCTTAATTGCATGTACTCCCCCTTCACCAAAATCACATTTATAATGACCTTCTCCCCTACCTCTTTGGAGCAGCTTCTCAGAGTTATTTGAAATGCTTTCTCCCAGGCTAAAGTCCTCACTTTGCCCCAAATAAAACCTAAATTACAGCTCTCTTGCTGTGAGGTTTTTTTTCCATTTTTTTTTTTTCCAGTTGAAAATAAGTACATACGTAGGGTAAGGTTTAGAAAGATGTCTCCATGGAACTGGGTTGCACCACCTTCTCCAAATTTGGATAGGCTCACCAACCTGGAAACTCACTAAATCCCTTGTTCCAGAGTTTTTATAGAGTTTAATCTGTAGTTCCTCCTTTCCGCTTCTGAGAGGTCAGTGTTGTTACTATTCAGTCACTAAGTTGTTTCTGATTCTTTGATGACTCCATGGACTGCAGCTCCAATCTCCTCTGTCCTCCAGTATCTCCTGGAGTTTGCTCAAATTCATGTCCATTGAGTCGGTAATTGCTTTCAAACCATCTCATCCTCTGCTGCCCCCTGCTCCTTTTGCCTTCAGTCTGTCCCAGCATCAGAGTCTTTTCCAGTGAGTCAGCTCTTCTCATCAGGTGGCCGAAGTATTGGAGCTTCAGCTTCAGCAACATTCCAATATATATTTAGGGTTGATTTCTTTTAGAATTGACTGGTTTAATCTCCTTGCAGCCCAAGAGGTCAGTGGCTAGTGCTAAAAGTGTTAGTCCCCTAACCATTGGTCTCTCTGGTGACCAGCTCCATCCTTAGGCTATCTTAGGGCCACGGATTTGAATCACTTCATGTGCGTAAATTTAGGTGTGGCCCAAAGGGTTCCTTATGAATAACAGACATTCCTACCACTCGGGAAATTCCAAGGGTTTTAGGACATTTTTATGCCAGACATGGAGACAAAGATCACAAACATTTCTCATTAAATCACCCAGTCCTAGCAAACAAATAGAGATGGTTTATTTAAATACTTGTAAGTAGTTAAGTATAGTTGAAACATAAAGGTATATGTGGAAAAATAGTAGAAATAAGACTGAATGACATAAGGAGAGGGAACATATGTGATTCTGAAAAGCAAAGACTTTGGAGCTTGACTCTCTAGGTTCAAATCTGGTCAATAACATGTGCCAACCATGGATGTCAGCCTAAGCAAGTTATTTTCTCATTTAACAAAATGAATTCTTTGTGTCCCATCAGAGTCATTAGTAGATAATGCATATTAACTGATATGGTAACTGTTTTCCAAAAGAGTTCAAAATGCAGTACTTGGGTGCAATCTCAAAAACAACATAATGATCTCTGTTTGTTTCCAAGGCAAACCATTCAATATCACAGTAATCCAAGTCCATGTCCCAACCAGTAATGCTGAAGAAGCTGAAGTTAAATGGTTCTATGAAGAACTAGGAAACCTTCTAGAACTAACACCCAAAAAAGATGTCCTTTTCATCATAGGGGACTGGAATGCAAACGTAGGAAGTCAAGAGATACCTGGAGTAACAGGCAAGTTTGGTCTTGGAGTACAGAAAGAAGCAGGGCAAAGGCTAACAGTTTTTCCAAGAGAACACACTGGTCATAGTAAACACCCTTTTCCAACAACACAAGAGATGACTCTACACATGGACATCACCAAATGGTCAATACTGAAATCAGATTGATTATATTCTTTGCTGCCAAAGATGGAGAAGCTCTATACAGTCAGCAAAAACAAGACTGGGAGCTGACTGTGGCTCAGATCATGAGCTCCTTATTGCCAAATTCAGACTTAAATTGAAGAATGTAGGGAAAACCACTAGACCATTCAGGTACGAGCTAAATCAAATCCCTTACGATTATACAGTGTGTATGACAAATAAATTCAAGGGATTAGATCTGATAGACAGAGTGCCTGAAGAACTATGGACAGAGGTTCGTGATATTGTACAGGAGACAAGGATCAAGACCATCCCCAAGAAAAAGAAATGCAAAAAGGCAAAATAGTTGTCTGAGAAGGCCTTACAAATAGCTGAGAAAAGAAGAGAAGCTAAAGGTAAAGGAGAAAAAGGAAGATATACTCATCTGAATGCAGAGTTCCAAAGAATAACAAGGAGAGACAAGAAAGCTTTCCTCAGTGATCAGTGCAAAGAAATAGAGAAAAACACTAGAATGGGAAAGACTAGCAATCTCTTCAAGAAAATTAGAGATACAAATGGAACATTTCATGCAAAGATGGACATAATAAAGGACAGAAATGTTATAGACCTAACAGAAGCAGAAGATATTAAGATATTAAGAAGAGGTGGCAAGAATACACAGTAGGACTATACAAAAAAGATCTTCATAACCCAGATAAACGATGGTGTGATCAAGTGGGCCTTAGGAACCATCACTACAAACAAAGCTAGTGGAGGTGGTGGAATTCCAGTTGAGCTCTTTCAAATCCTGAAAGATGATGCTGTGAAAGTGCTGCACTCAATATGCCAGCAAATTTGGAAAACTCAGCAGTGGCCACAGGACTGGAAAAGGTCAGTTTTCATTCCAATCCCTAAGAAAGGCAATGCCAAAGAATGCCCCAACTACTGCACAATTGCACTCATCTCACAAGCTAGTAATAATCAAAATTCTCTCCAAGCCAGGCTTCAACAGTACATGCATGAATCGTGAACTTTCAGATGATCAAGCTGGATTTAGAAAAGGCAGAGAAACTAGACATCAAATTGCCAACATCTGTTAGATTATCAAAAAAGCAAGAGAGTTCCAGAAAAACATCTATTTCTGCTTTACTGACTATGCCAAAGCCTTTGACTATGTGAATCACAGCAAACTGTGGAAAATTCTTCAAGAGATGGGCATACCAGACCACCTGACCTGCCTCTTGAGAAATCTGTATGCAGGTCAGGAAGCAACAGTTAGAACTGGACATGGAACAACAGACTGGTTCCAAATAGGAAAAGGAATACGCCAAGGCAGTCTATTGTCACCCTGCTTATTTAACTTCTATGCAGAGTACATCATGAGAAACACTGGGCTGGAGGAAGCACAAACTGGAATTAAGATTGCCGGGAGAAATATCAATAACCTCATATATGCAAAGGAAACCACCCTTATAGCAGAAAGTGAAGAAGAACTAGAGCCTCTTGATGAAAGTGAAAGAGGAGAGTGAAAAAGTTGGCTTAAAGCTCAACATTCAGAAAACTAAGATCCTGGCATCTGGTCCCATCACTTCATGGCAAATGATGGGAAAACAGTGGAAACAGTGACAGTTAATTTTTGGGGGCTCCAAAATACTGCACATGATGACTGCAGCCATGAAATTAAAAGACGCTTACTCCTTGGAAGAAAAACTGTGACCAACCTAGACAGCATATTAAAAAGCAGAAACATTTCTTTGCCAACAAAAGTCTAGTCAAGGATATGATTTTTCCGGTAATCATGTATGGATATGAGACTTGGACTATAAAGAAAGCTGAGCACAGAAGAATTGATGCTTTTGAACTGTGGTGTTAGAGAAGACTCTTGAGAGTCCCTTGGACTGCAAGGAGATCCAACCAGCCCATCCTAAAGGAAATCAGTCCTGAATATTCATTGGAAGGACTGATGTTGAAGCTGAAACTCCAATACTTTGGCAACCTGATGCAAAGAGCTGACTCATTTGAAAAGACCCTGATATTGGGAAAGATGGATGAAGGCAGGAGGAGAAGGGGACAACAGAGGATGAGATGGTTGGATGACACCACTGATTCAGTGGGCATGAGTTTTAGTAAACTCCGAGAGTTGGTAATGGATAGGGAGGCCTGGCATGCAGGAGTCCATGGGGTTGCAAAGAGTCGGACACGACTGAGCGACTGAACTGAAGTAAACTGAGGGCATATTAAGTTAAATAAAGTATAATTTTAAAAGGGACCACTTATTTTTTTCATTTTTTATATGTGGCTACTGGAAAATTTTTAATTTCATATGTGACTCACATTATATTCCTAATAGCACTGATCTAGACTTTATTCAATAACTTGTTGAAGTGACTTGATTAGGAGATGATGTGATTATATTTTGGTTTGTGTGCATGCTCTTTGTGTGAAGCTAAGTCGCTTCAGTCATGTCCGACATTTTTGATTTAAGGTAATTCATCTATCACTGGCATGTGATAGATTAACTTTTGAAGATATTGAAAGAGCAGAAGAAAATCATAAGGATCTGGGAGATGGGATTAGGTCCTTCAGGATCAATTGGAATGATGAATGGTTGAAACCCTGTTTAGACAGGAAAATCAACATTTCTCAAATTTTTTCTTTCTTCACCGTGAGAGTTTTATTTTCTACTCTGAAAATAAGTAGTGTTTTCAGATTCACAATCAACTCCATCTAAACCTAGCCTAATAAAAGAAGATTAATAAATAACATCCTGTGCAAAAGTTGTTCTTTAGGAGGAATATTACAAATACTAGCAAAGAGTAGAATTAACTTCGGATATCTTCAAAGCAGTTGCTAGCTTTTTTGTTGCACCTTGAAATACCATTTACATTGTTCTCTTGAAGAGGTAGTTTTCCCTGTCTTTATCTTGACAAGGTAAACATGTTTACAGCCCTTTGTTTCCAGGCTTTAGGATTTGGGATCTGTTTGTTTTCCTGCTTGGTTATCACATTTCCAAACATCTTCCACAAAGGAACCCGAAACTGGGGTTGAGATTCTCGGTGGCAAATACCTGCATTTGGATCTAAGAGATTTCAGGTCATGATCTCTATTCTTCTAAACTGACCTCCCTTAAACCATTAAGCAGGGATTTCATGCCAATTCCTCCCCAACAGATTCCATTTTGAAATTTATCCACCCCATTGCCTCCTCCTGTTTTCAGTAAAGATGGAAGAACATCACACAGGAATTAAATGACACAGGAGACCCACTGTAGGACAGTTTGCTGGCCTCCCTGGCTTACTTCCTGGAGGCTGGTTGCCTGAGCTGTGGCTCCTGACTGCATGGAGCTTGGAAGCTAGTGCTGCCTGCTTCCAAAGTGCCCCCAACACCCCACCCCCCCCCCCCCCGCAACCAATCCCCCCAACACATCAGCAAACAGTCGTCTTGAGCAACTGTTATCTGTGGCCCAGGATGAAGATTGCCTAACTGGGAGGTCCCTGCCCCCTTGGGGACAAGTCAGGTTCCTGATCTGGTTTCTGAGAAACCCACTTGCTCAAGGAGCATCTTCTCAATATGCTCAGCCCAGTCTTAAATTCTT